CCCCCCCCCCCCCACAGTCACAAGGCAGTCATGTGCGGGTTAGTCATACCGGGAACCGCAGCTCTATGCCATGCAGTCAGAACTAACTAAACACCCATGCATTGAAGTAACATATGATTCCCACAGGGGGCGCTCAGTGGCTCAAAAATACAAAATAGACTCTTTAAACACGTTCGGGTATTTTATTCTAGACGTTAGTCTATTAATAATCTCACTTTGTTTCAAAAATAGTAAATATATTTACGGACATTTTGATATTTCAGTAGCGTTAGTTGCTAAGTTTGGCCGTCGAGCGAGCAAATCAAGCCGGAAGTAGACGTCATAGCGCAAGGGGCGGAGCGAACGACTGACAAACATGGAGTAGTAGCGAGCGAGCAACCTGATCAGAATGAACCTCTGTAAACTATCATAAACTACAAATCATGGGGTTCATCTTTCAAAGACAGCGCTCTATATCGAAACATTTACATATATTTTACTAACCAGTGTTTGACAGAGGCGTCTGTCCTCTCTCGCTAGTTTTATTTTTTTAAATTAATTTATGGCCGCTATGGATTACCTGCTGCAGGTGAAAGTTGGAGCTCTGGTTGGGCTGCTGATCCTAACTCTGTGTTTTGGTTTTATCCCAGCGCGGATGAAATGGTTTCAAGTCGCTAGTGGAACAGGTAAATGATCATTTACGTTTTTTATGGTGGTCATCAATTTTACTGTACTATACGTGATCTTTTCTGTCATCTGTCGCCTCCTCCCAGCCTAAGCATGTTTATTTACTGTATGTATACATTATTATGTCGTGCCTCTGCTCGTTATTTGTGTTTAAGAATGTATGTTCATGTATGTATGTGCTTAATGTACTGTATATGTGTACCACACATAAGGAATTTGCCCAGTCTTGTCTTCATACAAGTACAACCACATGAGAGTCAGGTGATAAGGACAACTAGATGATTTTTTCTAAAACATGCATTTTACACACAGATGGACATCAGAGTGGAAGTGAAACTGGTGTTTGAACATGCTTAAACAAGCAAAAACCTCTGCAAAACATGAATTATATGACCACAACGATCAGAAACAGCCTAAGGATTTTACGAACGATCAAATATATGTATGCTTTTGAACGCAGTCTTCACCTTAGACACTGATAGATGTCACAAATATTTGCTGGTGAAACCAGAATAGGATGTGGATTTCACACGGTTATTAGGCTAGTTATCAGGTTTTCAGTTGAGTTAAATGTCATCAGTGCTTTGGATAGATAGTTTTGAAATTGTAGGGCTCTGCTTTATCAAGTGGCTTAATGCAATTACAGTTATACCTGATACTTTAGGTTGTGGCATGGGTAAATAAAATGCTTATACATTGCTCAGTTCCGATGAGTTTTTCATTATTTTCGGGCATTTGATTATAATCTCCTCTTTTACTTTGGCTGATTAGCTAACAGGAGTGATTAGAGAAAGACTGTACCATTGACATCAATCAACGGCACCATTAATCAATGTAACGGGACTTTGATTTGTTTTTCTCTGTCTCCAGTGACCCACAGGGCCGTGCTGAGTTTTGTGAGCTGCTTCGCGGGTGGCGTCTTCCTGTCCGCCTGTTTGTTAGATATCATCCCAGATTACCTTTCCGACATACATGAAGAGCTACAAAAGCAAGGCCTTGATGTGAGCTCACCGAATATTGGAATTGCTCTGTTAAATGCAGTCTGTTCCTGTAATTCCTATTTGTTTCTAATGCCACTTCTCCTCATCATCCAGGAAGGCTTCCCGCTTGCAGAGTTCATCATGGCGTGTGGCTTCTTCACAGTCTTGATCTTGGAAAAGATAGTTCTGAGTTGCACAGAGGGCCACAGAAATGAGGAGACGGCTCCTCTTTTAGCTCCTGCAGGTAACGGACATGCCCATGGACATCACTCGCTGAATGATCTGGAGGGGAGCGGTCACCACGTCCACGTGGATTTTCACGCGCACTCGTCCTTCCGCTCCTTCATGCTCTTCCTGTCTCTCTCTCTCCACTCGGTGTTTGAAGGTTTGGCCATTGGCTTGCAGACCACAGACACGAAGGTGATTTATTGAGTTTTGTTTTGTTTGACAGCTCCCTGTCGAGTCACTGTGCTGACCTGGTTAGAAACCTGATAAAAGTTTTGGGTTCAAAGGTTGACAGGTTAAATGTTTAGCATCGTGACTTCAAATCATGCTGTTTATGTAGGGTGTTATCCTGTGATGCCAAAACACTTTCAATTCACTAAACACTTTAAAAATGTTAAAGGAGAGGGTTCACCCAAAAATGGACATTTTCATTATTTACTCACCCTCGTGTTTTTTCTGTGGAACACAAAAGAAGATATAAATGTAAAGTCCATTTTAATAACAGAAAACAGGGCTGCACAATTTGCAAAAACATCTAATAGCGATTTTATTCATATGTGACCCTCTCTGTGAAATCCAGGCTAAAGTCTCAAAATCTAATTATGAGATAACAAGCATCAAAGTTTGATTTCAACCATTAATTTCACTACGATTTCAATCTTTGACATGGCCTTACTCAGTCAATATTAAAGATGTAAAGGTTACATTTTCACTGAATGTTCTTTGCCTTATGAAGGATGATTTTATGTAGAAAACAGTAAATCACAAAAACGACTTTAGCTGGGTTTTCACAGCCAGTGTCACATATTTTCTCTCTTTTTTGTGATTTTAAAATGCAGTTTAAAAAAAAGCTATGCTTGCTTGTAGAGCTGCACAATTTGGCCACAATTTTGTGATTATATATCAATGTGACTATAAAATTATTAGTAATGATAATTATTATTACTAAAAAGTTTTTAAACAAAACAAGGAAAGCTACTATTGTAATATTTCACTATAAAATAAAAAAAAGTTAAGTGATTAAGAAAAATTATATGATATTATCATTATTAAACAATTTCAAACAAAATAAGAAACGTTACTATTGTAAAAAAATAAATAAAATCGGAATAGCTTCATTTTAAATGGGAAGCGTGTTAAAATTAGTGCTGTCAAACGATTAATCATGATTAATCGCATCCAAAATAAATGTTTTTGTTTACATTATGTATGTGTACTGTGTATATTTATTATTTATATATACATACACAAACATACAGTATATATTTTGAAAATATTTACACGTTTATATATTCCTATTCTTATATTTTATAATATATATATAAATTTATTTGATATATAAACATAACATATTTTTCTTAAATATATACATGCATGTGCTTGTATTGATATATACATAATAAATATACACACACATATATTATGTAAACAAAAACTTTTATTTTGGATGCGATTAATCACTTGACAGCACTAGTTAAAATATATTGTGCCAAAATGGCTTTAAGTAAGCCATGATTACGGTAAGTAAATGACAGTTTCTTTTTGAAATCTATTTAGATATAAATATTAGAATCACAGTTTTTATACCTAGCCATTTGTGTATAATAATTACACTTGACCTTTAAAGTCAATAAAGAAAATACTAGGTGGCGTTTGATGGGGATGGGGGGGGTGGGGGTGGAAGAGGGCTTGGTGTCTTCAGCAAAAAAGTAAAGATGTTTCATTGGCTTACATTTACATGAAGGCTTGTGAAGACCATTTTGCTTCTTTTGGAATAATGCACAACTGTAATACATGTAATTGGAATAATGTAATGATGAATATAACCTAGTTTGACTTCACTCATCTCTCTGCTCAGGTGCTGGAGATCTGCATCGCTATCCTGGTCCACAAGAGCATCATCGTCTTCAGTCTGTCAGTGAAGCTGGTTCAGAGTGCGGTCAGGCCCCTGTGGGTGGCGCTCTACGTGGCCGTCTTCGCTGTGATGTCTCCTCTCGGCATTAGCATCGGCATCATTGTGATCGAGGCTCAGCTGGAGGCTGGCGCTTTGATCCAGGCGGTGCTGGAGGGGCTGGCGGCCGGGACGTTTGTCTACATCACCTTCCTAGAGATCCTTCCCCATGAACTGAACTCCCCTGAGCAGCCACTGCTCAAAGTGTTCTTCCTCCTGTGTGGTTTCTCAGTAATGGCTGCTCTGAGTTTCCTGGGCTGAAAAATACTTTGCATTTTTTTCGTGCCCCGTGGCCAGAAAACTGGAACCTTCACAAACTGCATGTGATTTCAAGGAAACGAAAGGCTCAGTTTGCTTGTTTTTTTTTAGAGGAACTGATATTTACAAGCACAAAGATGCTGATGTCTTTAAAAACTTTGACCTGATCATTTATCAGTTTTAAATGAGGAAAAAAAGAAATTTTCCTCAGCACTGAGAAACATAGTATCTGACATGTAAATGGAGTATTTTACAGATTTTTTTTTTTTTTACTTGAACTTGTTTTAGCTTTTTTAAACTCTTCATATTTTATCTGTGAAATTGTTTCCATGCCACTTTTGTGTTTTCTCTTTGTCATGCATAACACTATCTTAAAACCACCAGCTGTCTGACTGATTTTAAATGTTTTAAATCAATTATTCATCTTTATACATTATGAACACTGACTGCAATATTTCTGTATGTTACATACAGTTATTCAGTATTGGTTTTCTCCTTTTATGTGCTGCATTTCCTGTACATTTACATAAATTCGATGGGCAGCCAAATGTTTTGATTGCACAGTTTGGATTTACAGATTTCACAGTAAAATGAGACAAAATGTGTATTAGTAGTAGTAGACCACATGTGTATATGTTCCATAGTCATATGAAAGTATGATTATGCAACATATTAAAGCAATTAAAATATATTTTCATTTCAAACTAATGGAAACAGCATGCCGTTTTAGTTGAGAAGCGTTTCTGTGCCTTTATTTGAAAGAAAACTAGCAAATAGCATGTTACTGATTCTGGTGCTTAAAAGCCTTTTACTAAACACTAGCACTAAATCCTTTCAAAGTTAATGTTTAAATATATTAAGAGACATTACTGGACGTCATTTAGTTTGCTTTCTGTTTCAATATGTTCTGTCTGGGGTAGTAAAAAGCAAAGTGTGATTTTGATATGAAACATTGTTCAAACTTCAGACTTGATCTTGCAGTACCACATTTAGCCTCTAGATGTCAGGCTTCTACACAGAATGTTGGTGAAGTATTGACTATCTTTGAAACTCCATACTACTTGGTACTCTTTTTGCAGTATGTGCATTTTTAGTATAGAGTTCCTATATGAGTTCAGAGCACAAGTGCATTAGAAAATGTATCCCACAATGCAGTGTGCTCAAACTCCCGTTTCCAGTGTAATATTACGATCTCTCTAGGCTCATTTAATCAAGCTATACCCTGGCATTTGTACACAAAACTGGAATAGATAAATTTTTATATTCCAGATGATAACTGGACACCACTAATTGAATTGTTGTTTAATTGAGGTCATCTCACTACTGTTTACAGCATATATATTATTATAATAAGAAACGCGCATGATTGCATAATGCTTACTGGCTCACTTGAACGAGAACTGACAGGATTGTTCTGCATTTTTGTTCTTTTTTTCATGTTTTATTTAGATATTTGGTCTATTATTATTATTTGGATTTCATACTCTTCTCATGAGAGCTGCTGCTTTTCTTTCTGTAAATGAAATTTCCAATTCATTAGACAAGGGTTATTATTGTTAACTAAAACTAACATTAAAACCATTAAAATATAAAATGGCTGCATCATGTCAGTCCAATCCCTGTGCAGTGGCCCTAAAAAGTGACACTTACATTTTTTTTGAATGAACTGCATTAAGTGTGGCGTACGTCATGTCAAATACTTTTTTTATTTATTTATTTTTTTTTAACTTTTTTTTTTTCTTCCTTTATTAGGATTAGCAACAAGTACACAAAAATATACAACCCTAGTAACAACAAAATCACAAAACAAAATGAAATTAAAAAAAAACAACAACAACAAACATACAGGGCCAGGGGTAATATAAATTACATTATATAAAAGGTGCCTGCCTCAAAAGGCACTTTTTAACAACCAGGACAAAAATATACAACCCTAGTAACAACAAAATCACAAAACAAAATGAAATTAAAAAAAAACAACAACAACAAGCAGACAGGGCGAGGAGTAATATAAATTACATTATATAAAGTAAAGGTGCCTCAAAAGGCACTTTTTAACAACCAGGCAAAAGGTCACAGAGCATTCAGTCAACTGTACATTATAGGAAAGAACCAATATTATAAGATACACACTATGTTATCGATTTTAAGGCTTTAACATTGCTGGAGGTAGTCATGTCAAATACTTTTGGGGCCACTGTATCTTTGAAAAGAATCACAGAATAAAACGGCAACAGTCCAGCACTAATGAGTGAATGCTCTGTAGTGAGGAGCTGCTCTGCAGACAATGAGGGGTCGCTCATTTGTGTCTGTGCAGCAGAGCAGCAGGGTTTGTGTCGGACTCGTACAAGAAGTGCTCCTCCACTGCTCATTATCGGCTTTTTGCTCACATGCCTGAATGGATGGCATCTTTGCAGACCTGTCGCTTGTCCTACATTCACCCCGCCGCCAAGAAAGCCCCATTCACACCGAAGCCTCGGCTGAATCGTTTGCATGCATTGTAATTATAATGAAACGAGGGCGAGCAGGACCGCAATTTTGCAAATGGCATCTAAATCGTTGATTACCGTTTACTTTTTTATAATGCATGTTTAGTTGCATGACCAAAACCTTAATTACAAAAAGTGCTTGCTGTAGGCTATAACAGAGGGTTTAAAGAGGGAACCACATCAAGGATTATAAAGTGTAAAACCCAATGCAGTACAAAATGCGTTTAGTGTTATTGTGAAACTCAGTCAATCGCAGGATTAGTCTTTCAGATCACAATCCGTCTGTGTGATTGATTTGGGGCATTCTGTCGATTTGTGCTACCCTGTCAGATTTTGCTACCTGCCATTAAAACAAATTATGGTTTATTACACCTACCCTTACAGTAATGCAAATGCAGTAATTATGTGTTATTCGCGGTTGTGGCTGGAAGGTATACAGCTACGGCTAAATTCATTTTTCTACCTATTAGATTGTGTTTTATTAACACCTACTCCAACCCTAAACCTACACCTTGTGCGCATGCGCAGTAAGCCCTGGTAGGACAATCTGATGGGTAGGATAAAATGTCAGGACACCTGTTGCATCTGTTGAGCACTTCTAGTAGCCCAAAACACTCGTTTTTGCTATCCAACTATTTTTTTTTAACGTAATTAAGAGCGCACGCATCCATTTATAACTTGAATGTGCGATACTTCCGGTGTTATAAGCTATAAGTTATTTTAGCTGTACAAAAACAGTCCATTATGCTAGCCTACTTGATATTGTAAACTGGTATTTCTTATCCTATAATTTTAATATATTGTCGTAATCGTGAACACACAGGTTTGTAGCACAAACAGTTTTGCCGTTTACTGCACTTGATTTTGTTCCAGCCATTTACGTATACTAGCCTATATAATATAGCCTTTTTTTTTTTTTGAAGAAAATGTTTCTTGCCTATTTAAAAGGTATTCTGTATTTTTATTTTTAATTTTTTAATTTTATTTATTTATTTATTTAGGCTACTTACTTTTTTGCAGCCTAGGTGGTTGGTGGTCACTTACTAGCCTTGGTCAAATTATTTATAATATTCTAGTCTCTAGACATGGCTTAAGTACCTCATTCAGTGTGTTAATTCATCATCTGCCAAATAAAAAGTCTGACTGCTTAAAGGGGTCATATGATGCGATTTCAAGTTTTCCTTTCTCTTTGGAGTGTTACAAGCTGATTGTGCATAGATAAGATCCCTGAAGTTGCAAAGAGTAAAGTCTCAAAACCAAAGAGATATTCTTTATCAAAGTTAAGACTCTGCCACGCCCCCCTAAAACGGCTCATTCTAACACGCCCCCACATATCTACCACACTATATGGAAATATTTGCATAATGCCACCCAAATGTTCACGCAAAGAAAGAAGGCATGGTTTCAGTAACCGCAGTTAGTGTTGAAACAGCCATGTCAGGGAGACGCTGTGTGTTTCAGTGCGAAAGCAAAAGCACTTTATTTGGATCACTTACAACAGAACAGCAAGGGGCTTTGTAGAAAACGAAGCGTTTGAGAGAGGCGGGGCATAGAGGACCTACAATAATGTACAATATTTGAAAAATAATGTGGTTTTTGAACATTAAAGCATGTCAACATATTCTGTTACACCAAATACACAAAATAATGATCTTTAAAAAAGCATCATATGATCCCTTTAAGTGGTCAAGCAAGGTGTGGATGGAGGACCACCAGATAAAGACCCTGTCATGGCCAGCCCAATCTCCAGATTTGAACCCCACTGAAAACCTTTGAAGAGGAAGAAGGATGGTCACAAGCAAGGAGTGGCATAAAGTCACCCAACAGCAATGTGAAAGACTGGAGAGCATGAAAGCTGTGATTGAAAATCAGGGTTATTCCACCAAATATTGATTTCTGAATAGTTCCTAAGTTAAAACATGTTGTTTAAAAATGAATATGAACTTTTCTTTGCATTATTTGAGGTCTGATAACAAACCTTTTTTTTTTTTTTTTTATCAGTTGTCATTTTTTGCAAATAAATGCTCTAAATGACATTATGTTTATTTGGAATTTGGGAGAGATGTTGTCAGTAGTTTATAGAACAAAACAAAAATGTTCATTTTACTCAAATATACTCTATAAATAGTAAAAAATTATAATTTTGCAATGGTCTCTGAATTTTTTCCAGAGCTGTATATTATAAATATCATTTGTAATATTACAAAATAAATAATATATTTTTTTTTATCTATTCATTCTTTATTTTAATATATTTTTATTTAGTTTAATCTTATTTTTTCCTACTTATTTTTACAGTTTATTTTAACTTTTTTTCTCTAACTTTGAAACGTAGTATTCAATGCTACGCCCTAGTACACCCTTGCAGCCACCTGGTTTTGAAAACACCTAAACTGATTAGACTGACCACATTTTTATTTTTATCAGATGGAAAACTATTGAATTCATCATTTATTAAGTTGGCTTGAAAAAGCCAATTTACTGAAATCCTATTTAAACTTCTTCTTCTTCTGAGACCAAATTTTAAAATGTATCTCCTCCTAGACCTTTAAAGCTACAACCACCAAACTCGGGTCAGACCTTCAGACTCGTCTGATTCGGGTTGCTATATCTTTTCTAACTGATCCGGCTTGCGGTTTTCGTAAACCAGACTATCAAAACCACCTAATATCCCATAGCCTTTCATTGAGGGGGTCAAAACTTTTGTACGATGAATCTTATGGTGTATTTAAGCTGTCTATTGCTATAACAAAGCTTAACAACTCCCTACT